AAAACCACACTTTTATTCACTAACTACAGTCCCCTGGCTGTCAGGTTTCTCCCTTAAAAGCTTTGAAATAAGTTTCCCTAAGATCCTGGAGGTAGTTTGAAATGACATTTCCTAGATTGGCAACCAACATGGCTTGGATCATGACTGAGATTTCAGAATACAGGCAGTCCTCGATTTACAACCACAATTGACGCCAACATTTTTGTTCTCAAGCAAGGCAATCAAGTGAGTGTTGCCCCATTTTATGGTCTTTTTGTCAGTTGTTAAAAGAATCATTGGGGTTGTTAAGTGAATGTGTGGTTGTTAAGCGAATTTGGCTTCCTCCATCGATTTGCTGGTTGGAAGCCAGCTGGGATGGTTACAAATGGTGATCACATGACTCCAGGACAATGTAACTGTCATAAATGCCAGTTGCCAAGAACCTGAAGTTTTGATTATGTGACCCTGGAGATATTTCAATGGTAGGAAGTGTGGAAATTGGTTATCAGCCACTTTTTTCAATGCCATTGTAACTTCAAACTCATTAAATGAATGGCTGTTAAGTTGACTACTTGTAGACCTCATAGCACATCAGTGAGAAAAGGGTAAATCTCGGGTAGCAGGTCCCAAAGGTATTTTTTCAAGAGGCAAATGGACTTTCTGGTTTTCCTTTCCCTTCTCATCCAAGAACCTTCTTCAGCTCTGACTGGATGGTGGGGAATGGAAGGACTTACACTCCTTACAGACAGCTAGTCATTTGCATCCTTTTGAGTCAGGGGTTAATCTTAGTGACTTCAGGGTCACCCGAGTGGTGCAAATGGGTGAAGACAGAGACTTCAGAGGATAATTAGAACTGCAGGAAAAAAAACAATTACTGCCAACCTGCCTTCCATTGAGGAAGAGTCAAAAAGAGGGCTGTGAAAATATTTACAGACCCCTCGCATCCTGGACATAAATTGTTTCAACTTCTACCCTCAAAATGATGCTATAGAGCACTGCACACCAAGACTAGACATAAGGACAGTTTTTCCCCGAATGCCATCACTCGGCTAAACAAATAATTCACTCACCACTGTCAAACTATTCACTAAGGCTGCATTACTATTACCATGTCTTCTCATCGTTCCCATCACCCATCTCCTCCCACTTATGACTGCAGGACTGTAACTTTGTCGCTTGTATCCTTACGATTTACATTGATAGTTTCCTGATTGCTTATTTGTACCCTATGACTATCATTAAGTGTTGTAGCTTATGATTCTTGACGGATGTATCTTGTCTTTTTATGTACAGAGAGCTTATGCGCCAAAGACAAATTCCTTGCGTATCCAATCACACTTGGCCAATAAAGAATTCTATTTTATTTTTATTCTATTTTGTTTTCTATTCTCTATTCTATTCTATTGCCTTTTTGGAACTGTTGAAAGGACAGTGTTGTAGATTGGAGATAAGTGATGTTTTATCCCTCTCCCTCTATTAAGAGGGCTGGTTCAGTCCTCTGTCAAAAATGTGGAGTTTGTTGTCTCATGTAACAGGGTGGCAAAGAAAATTGAGGG